TCTTCATTCACCCACCTCCCTTTCTTACCTTATTCTTATTCTTATTCTTATTCTTTCTTCTCCTTTCTCTTTTTCCTTACCGTTCTTTCTCTCTTATTCTGAATCAATTTCACAACTCCACTATGGTCATGATTAGACCAGAAAAAGAATGAATTTTGGAATTTCAGAAATTCAATATGAATCCATTGTTTTGAAACAGTGGAGGCCACTAAATACCATTGCAAATATCTGCCTTTTTTTTGCTACTGTTTTTGCAAAGAGATTCGATGATAGAGTTTTCTTCATACCATCGGTGGTTTAGAGTGGTGAGTATTTTTGACCGCCATAAAACTTAAATGGTTGCTGCCTCTACTTCGTTGGCAACCAATCAAAACCCCATCTTTTCTAAAACTCCAAAATCGTAAGATATAAGTAAAAGTATACAATCTTCATATCGAATTTTGGCCGGAATTAAAATTTTTGATGTTCTCTCTCCTTGCTTAATTTGAAGAGAAGAAAGAGAGCGGAAATGAGTACTGACAGGCTAGGGGTCGTTTTTCCCTTTACTTTTTTATTTTTTTAAATTTTTTTTCTATTGAGCATATTATTTTCTTTAATCAGATTATTGCATTCACGCGCATTTTCTGCGTGATTGATACGCATTTTGTCCACATCACCTATGTCACTGCCAAATAAGCATAGTCAATAGTCAAAGTAGTTTATTAGTACTCGTTCTGTCAAGTTGGAGTGTTCAAATAAGAAAACTATAAGTTTATGTATCGGCTTTACAAACGGGTACAAGTTTAAATGGCCACGAAGCCATTTTGCCTTAAATTTTTTAAAACAAATATGCCCAAACGCTAGCTATTTTTTTCCCGTGAATTTAGTACTTATTTGACGGCAGACATATTCTCCCCAAAAAATCAAAACAAGCCAAAGAAAAAGGGCAGAAAAAGCACATAAAAGTCTCTCTCTCACGCACACACACTGTCGAGAATCCATTCTCTTTCGCCTAAACTTTCTCTCTCTACAACAACAATGGCGGCTCTGCTCACAGACAATCTCAGCCGCGAACAATACCTCTACTTAGCCAAGCTCGCCGAACAAGCCGAACGCTATGAAGAAATGGTCCAGTACATGGACAAACTAGTCCTCAGTTCCACTCCCGCCGCCGAACTCACCGTCGAGGAACGAAACCTCCTTTCCGTCGCTTACAAAAACGTGATCGGCTCTCTTCGTGCCGCGTGGCGTATCGTATCCTCCATTGAGCAGAAAGAGGAATCGCGTAAGAACGAAGAACACGTGTCGCTCGTCAAGGAGTACAGAGGTAAAGTTGAGAATGAGTTAACGGAGGTTTGTGCTGGTATTCTCAAGTTGCTCGAGTCGAATCTCGTGCCATCTGCTTCTACGGGTGAATCGAGGGTGTTTTACCTCAAAATGAAAGGTGATTATTACCGGTATCTAGCGGAGTTTAAGGTTGGAGATGAGCGGAAGCAGGCTGCTGAAGACACTATGAATTCTTATAAGGCTGCTCAGGTACTGTTTTAGTTGACTTTTTCCTAGGTTTTGAGTTTGTGCTTTTTACTGTTCTTCAGATTAGGGCAAATTAAGTCTCGGATGTTTTAACTACTTGTTGTGATAGTAGGATCGTATAGATCGTGAAGTAAATGTAGAAAACTGTAGCTAGATTTCGACTTGAACATAGAGAACTAATTTTAGCCATACTGATCTGGATTTTGATTTTCTGTATTTGTGTTGAGATTGTTGTGGAGAATGTTAAATAGGATTTGATTTTTCTATTGCAGTTTAGTTTTTTCTGTTACATATATATTAACCTAACTAATATGGATGAAATTGTGAGAAATAAGCAGGATTAGTGTTGAGATGGCGATAATGCATCTCGAAATTGTAGTTAGAGTTCAATATGGATTGTAAAAATTTAGCCATTGTGATCTGGATTTAGTTCTTTTGAGTTGAGATTGTGGTGGAGTTCTTATATTAGTGTGTAAGTTTCGATTTTTCTGTTGCATTTTTTTCCATCACAGATTTTACTAAAATGTTGATAGGTTGCAAGATGAGTGTTTAAGCTGCATCTTCAGTTGATTATTCCTTTGCATTGCCATCTTTGACCATTGAAAGACAACTAAGAATCTTATAAAAAAAAATTACTACAACTAAGAGGACAAGAAGGGACAAAGCTTTGTGATCTGCAGGTTGTAGCCTTACTCTGTTTTGTTCAGAGATATCGCTTTTCTGGTGTGGTGTTTCATATTTGTATCAGCTGAAGTGTCATTTCCATCCAAGAAGGGTCTCTCAACACCAAATTGTCTTTATGCTTGTTTGAAATTAAAGATTGGACTGAAGTTATAAGAAGTCCTTGCTGTGCAAAGTTAGGAGATCAGTTGTAGACTGGTCAATGTTAGTGAATATCCAAGGATATGCACATCGGTTAGGCTTAAGCCAGTTTAGCTTTAGTTGCATCATTGATGTAGTTAGAAACCCTCTAGGATCGATTTTCTTGTCGTGAGATTGGGTGTCTGAATAACAAAATTAACTTCACATGCAAAGGCTTTCTTATTATGCTGCAGGTATTTAGAAACTGTATAGAGGACATTCAGTTGATTTAACCTGGAGTTTTTATTTCTCGGTTTTGGCTCCCTCTGGCTCTTGATGAACTGTTTATTTTCGAAAAATGTTTGTCTAGCATGCGCGTGTTTATCGGCTTCTACAGTTGGTCAAATCTTGAATGTTCATATGTTTGCAGTTGGTGTTGTATGCAAAGTTCCATCATATGGTTGGGACTTTCAGTTTTGCTAATTCTATTTTCTTTCCTTTGTTATTGTTGAAGGAAATTGCACTAGCAGATCTGCCTCCAACACATCCTATAAGGCTGGGTCTTGCACTTAATTTCTCAGTCTTCTACTTTGAGATTCTGAACTCATCTGACAAAGCTTGTAGTATGGCAAAACAGGTAAAATTTGGTGTTTCTGTTGCAGATATGCTATGAATTTCATGTGCAGCTCTTCTAGTCAAGGTTAACAGGCGGGCACGAGTGTGAGCCTTGTATTTGTCCCTCTTCGTATTGAAGCTAACCTGCAAGATGGATCAATTACGATTTGCATCAGTTTTTAATATATCTATTACTCCATTATAGACGCCAGTTAGTCTAGTTGTGTTAGAGGGTCCATAATCATATTGCATTTGGTTGATTTGTTTGTCTACCTGTTTAGGCTTTTGAGGAAGCCATAGCTGAGCTGGACACTTTAGGTGAAGAATCTTATAAGGATAGCACCCTCATAATGCAACTCCTACGAGACAATCTCACACTTTGGACCTCAGATGCTCAGGTAGGTGCTTCTGTTGAGGGGCTGCCATTACAAAGCACCATCACATGCAAACGCGTAGTTTAACTCTGAAACTTGATTTCTTTACTTAATAAAACTTTCTTTAATTGTTGTCATGTGCTTAATGCAGGATCAGTTGGATGAGTCTTGATTGTATGCTGACTCATCATCTCTTTTAAGGGGTGGGCTCCAAATGTCATTTGCCTTTTGCTGACTTATTGTATAAGAAAAAGGACAGCTTCCCTTGACATTATGTATTCGATATTTGACTTATGGTGGTATGGAACTTCGAAAAGCGAGGAGTTAAATTGCCATATTTTCTGCATTTCCTTTCTGTTGGTATCAGTTGCTGGCGTTAGAATTTCTTTTTCCTTTTTTTAGCCGCGAACGGTCAAACCTGGTATTGAGTTATTATAAGAAAATTTAAATGGGTGTGCTTTTTATGAGTTTTTTATGATTAGATATTTTCTTCGGGCTGAGAAAACGGGAAGCTTTGATGACTATTTTACATACTTCCATGGTGGTTGGTTACCTGCTGTGACAAGGAATCAAGGAATGTTGCTCTCTGTTTCTTCACCCTGTTTCTGTGACGTTGTTATAATTCGTTGGAGCTCTGGTATTAACCGCAATAGCTGCTTTATAAATTAGTCTACAAGTTTCACGACTTCATAAATAGCATACTGCAAGTTTCACAACTTAATCTCATAATTGCGCCCTGGCAAATCGTGATATTAGCATCATTTCAAGTTTGTATTCATATAAATGTGCTTTTGGTGCTATAACTATGTTCTCTTTTAGTTTGATAATGACTACCTTGGTAGTTTTTGTTGGAATAACCGAAATGACTGCCTCGGTGACCTTTGGTTGAATAATTCTGTGTTTCTCAAGTACATAATTTTTCAAGATGGATCATGAGAACATGTCTTAACGGAATACACATTTTACAAATGGTGATACTGCTGATCTATAAATAGCGAGATCCAATTCTTAGAAATTAAAAATAAGAGGCTAGGAGATCCAACTTCGACTTAAGATAAAAACAATTTTTCGACACAACCCCCCCAAAGTATTTCAATTCAAGCAAGAGGATAAAGAGCTTTCATGAATATTAGTTTTCCAATCGTAGTCGATGGATAAGAGAGAAGAATGGTACCATAATTTTTCGAGGGTCTCGTCCCTTCACCATTATACAAACATGTATATACCTCCACAGCAGTTTATTCTCATGAGAAAAATTGGGAGACAGATACCTAACAAAAGCTCAACGAGTTCTTCATAAACTTCATATTCAACAGACACTGGTAAGGTTTGCACTCCAAATTCATAATTTAAAAGGATGTCGAAGGACCGTTCGAGTCACTAAGGGGCATAGTGGCACCCTCGCCCAGCGCCATTTCCGGACCTAGCAGCAAACAAACGGACCGGCCGTGCCTGAACTCAGACGGGACCAAACTCTTCTTTGTTTGAGCAGCTCCCAGGCACGCAGACCGAAGATCTCAGTTGTCAGGACAAGTATCTTTGTTAGACCGTGGAGAGAGCCTCAATCGATCTTTTCTAGGATTCCTTATCATGCCACATGGAGATCTAGCAGTAGTATTACACTGTTTGAAGCCAAAAAAAAAAGGAAAAGGAGGAGGTAGTGTAGCACTGTAGACCTATGTGGAATACAACAAGCAATGGCATAAATAACACATGCATTTAAGATATTATTGAGATAGATATGAGAGCTCGTATCAAGTTCAGGACTACCCACACAGTTTGACTGTTTTGAGTAATAACTATTAGACAAAAACACGAAATAAACATTAATATTGGTCTTTGATAAGCGCTAGACATGGGAGCAAGGGACATTGTCCAACATAACTACAGGCTAAAGTCGAACAAGCCTGCCTTGGCTTAATCATTTTTCCCTAGTGCTGTTCTTGAGCCATTCTAGGTACTGGGGGCTGCCACCAACTATTGGCATGGCAATCACTTCAGGAACTCTGCAGCAACAAGCAAAAGAAAGGATCAGAATATTCTGTCTGTCTGCAGTCTCCTCACCCTCTTCTCGGGTAATAATGTTTGAGCAAGATAACAATTAGCTTATTGCACCCAAGACTAATAATGAATGTGAAATTTTTGGGGCAGAAATTGCAGGCTATCACCGGTGATATAAGGATAAGATATCATATGGCACACATATTATTGTACATGAAAAATCCGTCTTCCTTCTAATTCCCTTTTTTAAACATTAGAACCAGATAATCAAAAAGGATGACCTGTAAGTTTATCTAAATAATGCACAAAATGAGAGCCAAATGTAAAGACTTACTCATATTCATGGTTGGCCTTCACATGCTCTGTAAGAGCTTCCAAAAGGGATTCCCTGGTCTTGATTATAAGCAGCTCCTCAGAATCAGTCTGTACCTGTTTACAGCAAAAAAAAATAACAAAATTATTCTTAGGAAACAAGACAACACCTATAACGTGTTGAGAAAAATTGGTCTCGATCAAAGCTGAACTGTCTGGTAACTGAAGCATGGAGGAGAAAAGCCAGATCGAAGAGGAGTCTTACCTCTCCTTCCCACTCGTAAACTGATTCGACGCCTGCACACACAGCACATCAATTCACTTATGCATCCACAAGCTTCTTGAAGTACTTGTCATAATGTGAAAAGTTATCAACGTAGGAAAGAAGGTTAATGAAGGTCCATGCAAAATTATTAATGTTTTGCATACGAGTAACTCTGCCACCGAGAAGGCTTCTACACATGTAAGTGAACGCTGAGAGCCACATGCATGGTTAACTTGCACTTTAGTTCTTTCCCAAATAACGGTTAACTAATTTGAACCAATGCTACAAACATAATGAACCAGACCCCACTTTGTGGGATTTACTGGGTCGTTGTTGTTGTTGTTGTTTTGCCACAAACATAACGAACAACACCAGAGATGAACCTAACATATGATACAAGGGCAAGACCAATATTACAATATATGAGCCATTAAATAAACCTCATGCTTCATCATGCAACTATGACCTTTAGTGGTACTCCAAATTATCAAAAGGATCTGGAGAAATCCCCAAACCTAGTCTTTACACCTTTCTTTCAAAATATGCATGACTGTGAACCTGCCCCAGTAACAGCGCCGTTCTCTTTACACCTTGCATCTGTTTTTCTGTTATTATAGATACTCTCCTAGTTCCTTGCTTCTATGAGATTCAAATCATTACCAATAACCAAATCCTACTGTCTTTTACCCTTTCCACCCAAATTTCTTCCCTATTACCAGAGACTTATCCAGCCACAAGGCCCTAGAATGAGAAATTAAGCCCTAAAAGTCGCTCCTCTCAATTTGCCATTCAGATTACATGTCCAACAAAAAGGTCCCCAACACACATTCTACATTACCCTGGTGTTGACAATGACATTTTACGAAATTTCAATGCATATCCCTTCAATTATTTATAGTATTGATCTTTTGAGAATCTAGTTCCTCTAAGAGAAAACGAGAAAAGTGGACATCAATATTTTCAACGTCGTAGCAGCCCAACCACATCAAAGAAAAGCCATGCAATCAACATCTCAATGAGGTTCAATCTTTGGAAAGAGAATTTAGTCAAAAGCACGCAACACCACGAGCAGTAAACAGGTGAAACAGCAATATATTGGGTTCATATATCCAAGTTCTTTATCGCACATTACAAAGAAACTAAAAGATCTAAACACTCCATGGTTAACAATCTTGTAACCAACATAATGCTTTATATCACTGATGAGACAATACATGAATCAAACTTCTAAGTTCCAATGCCAAGTGCGACTAGGAAATGACAAGGAATTAGCACTCTGTACTATAATTCAATTCATGACAACAAGAATGAACCACACTTTCTCAAGCACAGCGGTAATAGGAGCATGTTGAACTGAAGTTGAATTGCTAAGCTCTAAACAGCCAAATGACGGCAAAGATACTGTGAGAAATGGACCATCCAGTCGGTGCAAGATAGAAAAATGAAGGTTACATTAGCTAGTTAGAGTACTAATTAGGAGCTGTGCGTGCCTGGTACTCGATTAACACATGCTGCAAGTTTCTCCTTGACTATGCTCCCTGCTAGTTTCTTACCTGCAAAATAGCCAGAAACCAAAATATTAATGCTAAAGCTTCCACCTGTAGCTTCAGAAATCACTGAGATTACAAAAGCAATCATAAAGGCAGCATCCTTGAAAATATAGGGACATTTATTCTGAAATCATCTTTTTGTAACATGTTTAAAATTGGTACATTTGGACAGATAATAAATACAGTATTTGTTGAGACAACAGTAGCAGCTCTTAAGCTCAGATTATCCAACTATCAATCTTTTGGATCATCCTAGGTGACTTTTGGAACTTTGATACAAGTACAATATTATAATGCCGGTTCTCTTTTCGCTAACACAATGACCAAGACTCATGAATTCTAGAGCTCAAATTCGAAAAAGTTATTTTCTTTTACTTCCTTTTTAACTTTTGTCTAAGAATAGAACTAAAGGTACACCATATAGAACATTAAAAAGAAAAAGTAAAAGGAACGGAAGACCATAGAATCGAGTTTAAACCACACATAGTATATGATCCTGTAGTGAAGATATCACGATGAGTCAAGATCGATGTTATAGTAGCTTAATATGCCAGCAGATATCATATTTCAGCTAAAACCTCAACCTGATTTACCATTTCATAAGATGATCATAAACAACACTTATCAAATTATCTATTAACATCTAAAGTGCATAAAGCCAAGTACCTAAGTCACTGAAATGCCAAAACTATCAAAAGATTATAAATTGAATAGCAGAAGAAATAAAAAAAAGACAAACCCAATTCTTTGTTAGGAACAGTGACATAGACAACAATGCTGGGAACAATCTTGCTGCTTCCTTCCATTCTGATGCTATTACTAACACTCGTACTCTGTCTTAATTTCGACCTAAAACATTAAACAAACAAAACCTAGATAGGAATATTCTTTTCCTCAAAAACCCACAAACTAATTCAAGATTCTGATTATAAAAAATAAAAATAAAAAATTGCAAGAGAAATGAGAATTACCGTAAGAAAGGGGGAAAGGGAAGCGAGTGAGCAGAACCGGTTTTAGAAAAAGTTTGTATTGAAAGATTAGAGAGACCAAAAGTAAGAACGCAGAAGGCGCCTACTATGGGCAATCGACGACGTACTACACTTGATGATGCTATTGCTGAGAATCTTAATGCCATCTGTAATTTGATTATTAACTCTACTTTTATATTAGAAAAAATACAACACATAAAAAGAATTGGTAATTTTTTAGCTTTATATTAGGTTTGGCAGTAAAAGACCAAAATAATTGGCGCCAAATAACCAAAGTTATTTTCCTAAAAAATAGCAAAACAATTTATAGAACCGCTCTCTCTCTCTCTTCTCTCCAATTCTTACGTAAATAAAGTAACTGTTTTCCGTCTTCTACGTTCCATATCTTCTTCCAAAATGCACTCAGTACTCTTATCTCCCCTTTCCTTAAATGATTCCTCATTCATTTATTCTCTTTAGTTTTTTTTATTAAAAAAATCTCCTCTTCTAATGGTTGCACCTATCTACCTAAAATTTAGGTTTTATTTTCTGTCAAAATTATCTGAACATTTCTCCAAAACCTTTTTATATCTCTTTTCTGATTTTTTTCACACTGTAGCAATGTATATAAGTTTAGAGCAAGTTCTAAGACATAAAATAATAAATATAATTGTGGGATAAATAAATTTTTAATATACATTTTGATATACAATGATGGAAAATAATTTTTTAATATATACAAATAAGGAAAATAAATTGTTTGGTATATTTAATATATTATACACTATGATATACAAATAATGTAATTACTTTTATTATGAAAACAAATTGATATAGAGACAACAATAAATTTTGGATAACTATATTTATAAATTCATAATACAAATAATGAAAATAAAATTTTAATATTCATTTAGATATACACAAAGAATGAAAATAAATCTGTGATATACATTTCACAAATAATCACCCATGTGTATTTTGGCTGTTATATATCAGTATGTATATCACAGAAGAATTATACATAGACATGTATATCATATTATATGTCAGTGTATATCACACAATATTTTCAATGATATACATAGTCATGTATATAAATATGCATGATATACATGAAATAAGATATATAAGTCGATATACATTGAGATGTGTATTCCCCGAAATTTGAAAGTTCAATAAATTCATTCCTCTTTCGATTCAAAACAAACTATTTCTTTTCTGAACAAAATTTTTGTGCAAACTTGTGGAAAGTTTGCTTGATTTCATCCATTAATGCTAAGTGAGAATGAAAAAACTTGTCCAACTTCGAAAATGGGCCACCAGAATTTCAGTTTCATGGTTGTTCTATTCCTTTAGGCATTTATTTATACCAACTGTTCTAAAATTTTCTGCTGTGAAGAGAGAGAATGAGGAGATATGAAGAAGAGATACAAAGAGAGAGACACACAGGGGAAGAAGGTCTAACCCTCTTTTTTTTATATACAAAATTAATTTTTTAAATTAAAATATAAATGCAGGCCATAAGATGCCAATAACAATAAGTTGTGCTTTTTTATGCCATTTATTAGGTTAGGTTGTCATACAAGGCCAAAACCCCTTTATTTGCTTTTATTTATATTTCCTGTACTCCTCAAAACTTTCTAGAACTAGAAGTAACCACTTTTGGGCTTATATTTGGGTTGGGCTAGATATGTGGGCTAGTTGAAAGCCATATTTTTCTTGGGATCTTTACACAAATAGTCGGTCATATTCATTATTTACTATTTCTATCCATATACATAGATTATACATTGATTATACATAATTATACACATATAAATACATTAATTATACACATATTATACCCCACCACTATGTTTAGTTTAATGATTGGATGAGCGGCTATTTGGATTAATTCTTCTTCTTTTTTTCTTCTCATCAAGCAGTAAAAAGAAATGAGAAATGTATATTTTTAGCCGCTCCCAAAAATAATAATCGATAATATATATATATATATATATATATATATGATATAGATATTTTATATATTTTTTTGGCTAGTGAATGCAATTAATTTTGGGATAATTACACATAAGTACAACTCACACACATACACTGTAATCATATAGCCTATATACAACATTGCAAAGCTATAGCCCAAAAATAATAGGCTAAGATTCAACACCCAACTCCAAATATGTTCTCGAAATCCCTATTTTTTTCTTCTAAAACCTCAAGCTTTTAACCCAATTTTTGAATCAATAACTGTGACTTAAATATTAGTTCAACAAATAAATTTTATTTGGGTGGTGAAAATTAGATTTTTAAGATAATCCTCCATTGTTAAAGAAGCATAAATAAGTGGGTCTAAATTTCAAATATGATTTTGTGAGAAATTTGGAGTGGGTGTTGTTTAATCTTATTAGAAATAGTCTAAGGAGGTTCTTTATAAAATTGAAGTCATTTAATGGAGATTTGGACAAGTTTTGAATAATAATTGTAAATAAAAATCATAAAAAAAATTCGTCTACAAACGTTTATACACTTTCATATAATGTTATACACTTTTATACAAGATAGTATATAGGTGTAAGTCGATTCCTACGTTTTTAAATTACCAGAAGCTCTTAGCTACTCAGCTATACTATAGGCTCTAAAGGCATTACTTGACTGAAAGAGTGCTTATATTATGGGGGCTTCCCTTTCCAACATCTGACTTATATACAGGTCAACATCGACTTAAGAAGCACGAAAAAAAAGTTCGTGTTCGCAGATATGATGCAAGGAAGAATAGACTGTCTTCGTTCCTTACACGATAGATTGAGAGCCAGGCTTATGATGAGCCCCATCACAGAGATGCACAGAGGAAGAGCCCCTTTGCTTGCTTTTTGGGACATGTAAGACAGCCTAGCAGATCCTTTTGAATGTCCATCAAAGGCGAGGTGGGAAATGCCCCGCACGAACGTGCCCCTCACCAGAGAGCCACTGAACTCGCTTTCAAGAAGAGTCTTTCCTGCTTCCAATTCATAGACTTAAAAAAGGGTCTACACCGCCACGTCGAGACTCTCTTTCGAAAGTGAGGGGCTAGCTTGCTTCCACTGGTGGCGGGCGGGCGAAGTCCTCCTCCATCTAATCTAACCCTACCTCGTTCGCCCAGGCCTGCCGGCACAATAAGAGAATGAGGGGCGGAAGGAATGCTCTGCTCATCTTTCTTACGGCTCGTTACCGCAGCGCTCCTTCTCTCACTTCTTGAAGACTTTCTTTTTCTTTCGGCACGGCATAAAATAAAGGCTGTTCTTGTTGCGGGTTTATCAGATACAACCATATAACTATTATACAATATTATATATTATTATACAAAAACTGACTTCGTCTTCTTCCTTGAGTCTTTTCTGAAATTTAACTCACTACTCCAAATCACTTCAAGTTTATGTTTTGAACTCCTCTTCATGTTTCCAATCAATTGGAACAATACTCAAGTCAAACAACTAAAAAATTCAAAAAACCCAATTTTTAAAATAAAAATTTCGAACAACCCTTAATGGTGGACTTTTATTTTTCAAAGTTTTCAATCAACCATAGTAAAGAGAAGCTCAACTTCGGCTCAATTCTATTTTTCAACAAATATAAACAACATCCACACCAACTTTTTTACAAAAATCGTATTCGAAATTCAAACTCAATTCTTTTAACTTATTCAACAATAGTGAGTTACCTTTCTAATCTAATTTTCACCGCCCATTTTATAAAATTACTACTCTAACCACGATTTGGGATGTTGTCCGCGTGTAATGTGACTCTCTAGAACACAAGAGTCTACAAAAGAATATAAAAAAGAAGATGTAATGCTTTGTTGGGCCATTAATGATGATATCAAAAGGCTGATATGGCTATGGCAGGGAAAAATCTTCGAAAGCCATTTATGTAATTGGATTTCATTGCATGATTTTTGGATTCTTTTGGATTTGTTTTTGATTTTAGATTGATGATGAAAAGATGCTAAAATGTGTTAGGATCGAAAATAATTAGGTGTCATGCGAAAACTAGTAAAGCGAACCTTGAACAATGATAAATTATACAACAAAAGAGAACTATACCCAAATAGACACAAATATTTAACGTGATTCGGTCAATTGACCTACGTCCATGGACGAAGATGAGAAATCCACTATATAAAAGAGAGTACAAACTATCGAGAGAATAATCTCACAAAGAGGCAAACATAAGTGACACACTAACACTTGTCTCGAAAAGTTATCCCTCTAAAGAAGACTCTCAAAACCCTTATAGATACATTGTGGATGCTGCTGAATGAGAAGGAAGGATCCTTAATTTATGGAAGTCCAAACCTTTACCTCTAAGAAAAGGGACTAACCAAATATAGAAGAATTATATTTTCCTTCTCGTAAAAGAAAAAATCAATTATGGTAAATGTGTTGTCCTTCAAAAATAGAAAAACCAAATATGGTAAAAAAAAATCAGGACAAACACCTAACAATTCTCCCTATGGCCTAAATTTTCTGACAAAATAAACTTGATCCACCTTCTTCACATAATCTTCAACAGGTCGCATCTCCAAATCTCCACCGCAAAGTTTGTCTCAATGTGAGTAGTACACTGATCAAACTTCTTATACAAAAATTACGATTACTGTCAGATAGGTTGTGACGGGAACTAAATCGACACGATGAACCTGTCCTAAATCTCATCCCGATACCACTATGTTAGGAAGGAACAATCAATACCAAATTTCACGACTAGACAAATAGCGGAAACAACCCAAGTTTAAATCTTTCCAATCTACTTGAACCAAGAGAATACAATAAATTAATGCAAATGGTAACACGAACGACAATTATACCACAAGCAAACAAAGAATAACAAGGCAAAAGTAATCAAGATACGAGATACTATATTTACGTGGAAAACCCCTTCAATGTGAAGAGGTAAAAAGCCACATGACCAAAGGCCCTCAAAGCTCCACTAAATCAATCAACAAAAGTTACAAAAGTTTTATAAATTGGCCACAAAGCAAGTTCCAAAACAAGAGCAACAATAAAAATAAGATTGTATAAAACAAATTGAAGAAAGGAGAGAAATTACCCCAAAATTGAGCTTCTGTTCATGCCTCCAAATTCAAAGTTAAAGGACTATAAATCCAATATCCACCATTGAAATCCAAGAACCAAATGTTAAGAACTCCCAGTTCAAATTTGAGCACAATCCAACGATTAACGAGTCAGAAAATGCTAATTGAAGTGGACTACCTGAGCAGAAATTTTCTGGAGCAAAAAAACACACTTTTCTTGCTCACAAGGCTTCAAAAACGGTTGCACCCTTATGTTTTCTCTCTTGTTGTATTTCTAACCTAAAATAGGTCATATTTATATGTCTTGATATTAATGGGCTATAGGGAAAATGGGCTAGGTTCAAATGGTATTTTATTTATCCAC